GAGGCTATTGGTGGCAGAAGTCGGTCTCGAAGGTACCCGGGTCCTGTGCCATGGAGCGCTTTAAAGGTGATGACCAACACCTTGAATCGCACCCAGAAGACCACTGGGAGCCAGTGCAGCTCACGCAGGAGGGGTGTCACACGGGCACAACGAGTTGCGCCCATAACCACCCGCGCGGCCGCATTCTGGACCAGTTGGAGCCTCCAAGTGCTCTTCAAGGGGAGCCCCATGTAGAGAGCATTACAATAGTCCAGCCGGGAGGTGACAAGGCCGTGAGTGACCATGCGCAAGGCGTCCCAGTCCAGAAAGGGCTGCAACTGGTGAATCAGGCGAACCTGATAAAAGGCCCCCCTGGCCACGGCCGTCATATGTTCTTCTAAAGACAGCCGTGCGTCCAGGAGGACACCCAGATTGCGAGCCCTCTCTGTGGGGGGCAAAGATTCATCCCCAATAGTCAGCGATGGCACCTGCTGACTATATCAGGACACCGGCAGCCACAGCCACTCGGTCTTGGACAGGTTGAGTCTGAGCCTGTTCCTCCCCATCCAGATCCACACGGCCTCCAGGCAGTGAGACATCACATCAAGGGCATCGTTGGGGTGGTCTGGGGTGGAGATGTACAGCTGAGTATCATCAGTGTACAGATGACACTTCACCCCAAAACCATGGATGATCTCACCCAGCAGCTTCACATAAATGTTGAACAGAAGGGGCAAGAGGACCGACCCTTGTGGCACTCCCCATGCGAGGTGCCTCGAGGTCGACCTCTGCCCCCCTGCCAACACAAACTGCGAGCAGTCAGAGAGGAAGGAGGAGAACCACTGCAGAACGGTGCCCCCTATTCCTAACCCTCTCAACTGCTGCAGCATGATACCATGGTCGATGGTATCAAAAGCCGCTGAGAGATCTAATAGGACTAGGACAGAGGAGCAACCCCTGTCCCGAGCCCTCCAGAGATCATCCACCAATGCGACCAATGCCGTTTCTGTGCTGTACCCCTGCCTGAAGCCCGACTGGTACGGGTCTAGATAGATAGCTTCATCCAGGTGCCTGGGCAGTTGTCATGCCACCACACTCTCAACAATCTTCGCCACAAAACAAAGGTTGGAGACCGGATGGTAGTTGGCTAATTCAGCCAGGTCCAGGGAAGGCTTCTTGAGGAGGGGCCTCACCACCGCCTCTTTCAAGGTGGCGGGAAAGGCACCCTCATTCAGAGAAGCAGTTATAATCCCCTGGAGCCAGCCTTGTGTAACCTCCCGGGAGGCCAGTATCAATCAGGAGGGACACGGGTCCAATAAACATGTGGCGGCACTAATCCTACCCAGAACCCTGTCCACATCCTCGGGAGCCACAGGATCAAACCCCTCCCAGGTAATATTCTCAAGACCTACCCTCGTCTCCTCCCCTGGACTCACTCAGTGGAGTCCAAGCCTTCCCGAATCCGAGCAACTTTATCTTGCAGGAATTGCACAAAATCCTCAGCTCGGCCCCGCAAGGGATCTTTCCGCACTCCCCCCCCAAAGAAGGGAGTGTGTCACCCTAAACAGGGCGGCTGGGCAGTTCTCTGCAGATGCAATAAGAGCGGAAAAATGGTTAGATTTCACCGCTTTTATCGCCACTAGGTAGGTCTTGATATAAGACCTCACCTGTGTCCAGTCGGAATCGGAATGACTAGTCCTTCAAATGCTCTCTAGGCGTCTTTTCCGACGCTTCATCTCTCTCAGCTCCTCAGAGAACCAAGGAGCCAATTGAGATCGGCATCGGGTCATAGGCTGCAAAGGCACAACGTGATCCAAAGCTCCGGCGGCCGCACTCTCCCAGGCGGCCACCAGCTCTTCAGTCGAGTCATGTGTCAGAGTCTCAGGAAACGGCCCAAGCTCTGTCAGGAACGTTTCGGGATCCATCAGGCGCCTGGGATGGAACCATCTAGTCGGTTCCATCTCCCTGCGGCAGGGGGAAATGGTAGGAAAGTCCAAGTGAAGGAGCGAATGATCTGTCCATGACAAGGGTTTAATATCTAAGTCCCCTCTACCAAGATCATTCAACCACTGACCAGAGATGAAAATCAAGTCCAGAATGTGTCCCCCTATGTGAGTGGAGCCCTGAACTAACTGGGTCAGGTCCATGGCCGTTATGGAAGCCATGAACTCCCAAGCCACCTCTGACGCCTCACCCGTGGTGGAAGGTTGAAATCCCCCATGACAATAAGCCTGGGGGTGTCCACCACCACCCCGGCGATGATGTCGAGTAGCTCAGGCAGGGTCACCGCCACGTGGCAGGGAGCCATACTCAGTCAGCAAACCCATCTGCACCCCACAGCCCCACTTCACAAAGAGGGACTCACATCCGGCTATTTGAGGAACAGTGGTCTCCTTCAGACAAAGACTCTCCCTAATAATCACCGCCACTACCCCACCCCTTCCCTGGGCCCTTGGCTGATGAAATGCACGGAAACCTGGTGGGCACATTTCAACGAGGGGGACCCCCCCTCTTGGCCCAACCAGGTCTCCATAATACCTGCCAGGGCCACACCTCCCTCCAATATAAGGTCACAGATGAGGGGGGCTTTATTAACGACCGACCTGGCATTATACAACATCAGCCGCGGACCCTGGGCCTGAGACTCTGCACAACCCAGGCCACGAGTCGTGCATTGGGGGCCAGAGTGTGCAATTGCTAGTAAACAGCGTATGCGCACCCCTGACACATGATATGGTCCCCTGCGCCCGTCATACCTGCCCCTCCCACTCATTATTTCAATTGCATTGCCCTTCTTGTCACCCCCCTGCTCCCCGGATAAATTTTCTTTCCCGACCCCTCTGCTGCAGCCAATCAACCTATCACCCCGCTCAGTAGCAATCTGGACCCCCCCAGGTCCACTTTTACAACCCCCTCCCTTCCTCCCGGGTCCCCTTAAAATTTTCTTTAAAAATTTAAAGAAAAAACCCCTCAACCCCCTCTTCGCTGCATACCATCTCTCGGGATTCCAAAATCTGTCATCAAGGTAGGCCCTCGATAACGTGGAGGGTCAGGCCTGCGAGAGGGGGGAGTCTCGCAGCGCAAGAAGTTCGGCGGCCGAGTGCATCCAAAAACTGGGAAAGGGTGAAATATCATCTGGCTGAGGTTCCATAGAATAGTCTAAAACATCCTAGGGAACAGAGAGGCAGCAACTCAAGACATGGGAAAACTGGACTCCACTGTCCTCTCACGACAGTGGGAGAAGTCTCGTGCCATTTCAACAAAAACTCAGAAGGTGCCCTCTCCAGGCCATCCTCTCATGATGGCTAGCCAAGATGGAGTTGGCTATGGAGAGATTCGATAGTCTATACACTCTGGTAGGGAAACAGCAGTTGAAAACCGGACTCCCTCAAAACCCACATCATATCTGTTCATTCTCCACACCATCAAGGGCATAGGTGGAATAGAGCCAGTCCAGAAGGCAGAATAGTAGACCCGGGGAATAGATGACACACAGAAGGTGACGGAGGGAGATGGCTTGCAAAGCAGAAAGCAGCTGGGGTGGTGACCATGATAAGGCCTATACAGGCCAACAAAAGGGGGGAGGGGGGAATGGCCCAAGGCAGCCCTAGGCCTTCCTCCAACCTGTCCCACTCCCCAGGTCTTCCAAGTCTTCCAGCATTTGGTCCTTTCATATCCCCAGTCTACAGCCCCAGTCTCCAAATGGGGTCTCCAGATTCCTGCAGGAAAATGGGCCAGCAGAAAATAAGCCACCCCCTAACAGGTCCAGGGTTCCAAGATAGAAGCCAGCAGCCTCTCACCATATCGTCCTCTTCAGTAGCAGCCAGCTGCCGCCCCCTCACCTCCGCCTCCACCATCGTCCAGCAGCCACCGACAGCCCCGTGACCACTGCCAGCGCCGACGCCGCTTCCACCATGGCTCCCACCATACTCCGGAGTCCCCAGGAGCCTCAAAAAGCCCCGGAGAAGCCAGGAGCCTTAAAAAGCCCCGGAGAAGCCAGGAATCCAGGGGAGCCACCATATCGCCGCCGCCGCCACCACCACCGCAGAGTCACCGCCGCCGCTGGCCCATGCCGGAGGGTGAGAAAAGCGCCGCCAGTCAAGCCGCTACTGCCGTCACCCCGTGGCGCCTTCAGCGGCCGTATTTTTCCTTGACCCAATGTTCCGGAGGGCAAAAAACCCCTCAATGGGTCGGGAAAAGACTCCTTTTACTAGGACTGGGGGCCATGATGGATAAATTGGCCCCAGGACCCTCCCGGAATTGCCAGAATCACCCCATCTACCGGGAGCGTCTCAGGCTAGATCCGCCATCTTGGACATGCGCAGAAGATCCAGAAGTGTGCATGTTCCAGGGGGACATGATGCCACTCTACTAGCTTGCTCATGTTCTTGTTTAAGCATGTTTGCCCAGGACACATTTGCACCTTCCCTGGTTAGTAAAATGTGTCTTCAAAAGCGTTGACCAGGTGGCTTCAAAAAAGAGACATTTTTCTGAAAACACGCAAAAGAATAATTGTATGTAGAATTGCACGCCTAGCTATATCTGTATGGGGACTTCAGGTGTAGCCTTCATATCTTTTTTTATTTCCTTGAGAAAGCCCAGTCCTACATGAAAGTCTCTAAAACTAAGTTGGACCAAAACTCCCTGAACCCTCTCAGTGAACTTTCTTCTTCCTCCATCCCTGGAGAAAGAGAGAGAGAGAGAGAGACCACAAAATCACAGGAGACATTCAGTTTCCCTGCTGCAATTATCAAAAATAATTGCCATTGTGTTTCCTGCAGGAGCATGAGGGATTTTTCTGAAGTTGATCCTCTTGGGATCCATGAAGACAAACATCAAGAAGCAAGGTGAAAATGCTGCCTGAGGCTTCACCCAAAGCAGTTCTTAAATAGTCTTATCTCTGGACAAGTGGTGCTTTCCTCCTGCAAAATTTCATTGCCTCCTCCTTGATCTCCCTGCTGTTGGACTTGTTATGTCCTGCTGAGAAAACGGTGCTTTCCAAAATGCCATCAAGGGTTGCAATGAAGAAAGGGATTCTGGTGGATGCAATCAAGTCCCAGAAGTTTCTGCTGTTGTTGCTTCTGGTTCTGCTGTCCAGTGCAACTGGTGGCAGAAAATGTCTCCTGAATTTCATCAAGGACAAGAATGCTGTGTACACTTACTATCAGTCAGGAGATTTCAACATTGGTGGAATTAGTTCCGCAACAACACTTAAGTTCAAGCCAGTTGTCTTCTATATGTCTCCCATCACTAGGCTTGTGGGGTACATCATAAAGTTCTTCCGTGGGTTCTTTTTCCATCCTGTCCACCAAGGACTATTTTCCCCGGTGCCTGCCAAGGGGATTTTGGAGGTTTTGGTTTGAGGGCTCCATTTAACACAAGGAACCAGCACTTGTGCTCCTAAAGTAACCCAAGACCACAGTTGCTGTGTTGCTAAGAAGGGTCTGTCTCGGTGTCTTGCGGTGTTGGTGTTATTTCCCTCTTCTTGCATGTACAGCCGAGATTACTCACTGTAATTTACAATGCAAATACACTGTAGATTTGTATGGGATTGTGCATTAAAAAGAGATGCTGTTACAGATGTTATAAGTTGGTTTTCCATGAAAATGATTGGATGATACCTGTGTTTTACTTTAGGGCGGGTCCATTTATCTTCTGGTTTCTCCTGTCCTTCTTCTTTGCCACCAAGGAGATCAACCAAAACCCCAAGCTCCTACCCAATGTCACTCTGGGCTACAACTTCTATGATAATTATCATGAGGCTGGGATGACCTACGATGCCATGGCAGACCTCCTCTCAACTGGGGAAGCAAGTGTTCCCAACTACAGCTGTGGAAGAGCAAGCAATCTCTTGGTAGTGATTGAAGGAGTGGAGTCGGAAGCTTCCAGTCAGATTTCAATCATGTCCAGCATCTACAAAATCCCACAGGTATGAAGCAAGGTAGGCTGGAATTGGGTTCTCTGATTGGCCTAGGGGTGCATGGAGATGGTTGATGTCCCCTTCTGCCTAAAGAAGGACAGTGCTGGGGCTAGACAAGGACAGGAATCTGCCAATATTTGAATCTCTCCAAGCTGGGCCTTCCTGTCTCTTTTTCTTTCACCTGCATCCTCATTTCATCAGGAAATACTTTTTTCTGCTTCTCCTTAGGTCAGCTACGGTTTTGTTTCTGGAGCTCTGAGTGATAACATCCAGTTCCCATTTGTCTATCGGATGGTCCCCAAAGAAGAACATGTGTACCATATGATTGCCAAATTACTCCAGCATTTTGGGTGGAACTGGGTGAGTCTTGTTTCTCCAGACACGGATAACGGAGAAAGGTTCGTGAGGACCTTGAGCCCAATCTTAACCAGGAATGAGATTTGTGTTGCCTTCTCGTTGATGATCCAAGGACTGCAGGTCGCAATCCCATTATTGCCCCATAAAACATTATTCATGTGGAATAATGTCACTGTCTTCATTTATTATGGGGAGGTGCGTTTCTTTTATCCCATCATAAAAACTTTACAGATCATGATCTCTAGGATATATAGGATCCCCATTGTGGGGAAAATCTGGATCACAACAGCTTTGTGGGACCTCACGTTGAATTTTAATTATGACCTTTTCATTGACAAGCAAATCCATGGCTTTTTCTCTTTTGTATGTCATCAGGAGAAAAAGATTAGCAATGACAATTTTCAAACATTTTTTGATACTATGAACGAATTTGGACTGGCAGCCTTTGAATGCTTGCTTTCAAAGCCCGCATTGTCAGTCAAATGGAGGAGAAGATGCAAGAAGCAGAAGATTCTGGAGGTCCCAAGTGAAGAGTTTGTGGACAACATTTTTTCCATGGACAGCTACCGCATTTCGAGTCTTGTGCAGGCTGTGGCGAAGGCCATCGATAGGGCCCTGTCTTGGAGAACCCACAGGATAAGACCTGGAGGTGAAAATGGGCTGAGATCTCACAGTATTCCAGCATGGCAGGTAGAGATTTTTTTCCCCTGACAGGTCATACTGCTTTCTTGAGTTGCCATTCAAGGTTGAGAACAGTTGACGTGTTGTTGTAGGCTATATTTTAGGAGGTTTCAAAGAAATCCATTTTGTAATTTTGCAGAACGTTCAGTTTCTCGTGTCTCCTAGGCTGGATCTTGAGACAACATTTGGACGAATCCATCCTACTCATGTTCCTTCCCCTCCAAATATCTTTTTTTCCCCTACTTCATGTTCAAGTTATGGAAAGTTCTGTGACTAAACCATTGGGAGTTGCAAAGTTGCTTTTTCATGAGGCAACTGGACGTTCTTGATTTATTACTTTTTTTTAAAGACATTTCGCTTCTCATCCAAGAAATTTCTTCAACTCAGACAGGCTAGCGGGGAATGGAAGGATTTATATACCTTGCAGACAGTATATCATTGGCATCCTTTTAGAGGGTCATTGAAGCACTTGGAGGTTTTTTCAGGGGTGGGATTCTACTGGTTTGGACCGGTTCAGGTGAACCGGTCACTCCGACAATCAGCGGGGTGCAAACCGGTTCGCTCCGATGATCAGCTGGGTCCGCCTGCCCCCTGAGCTTTACTTACCTTTATCTTTGCAGCTGATTAGCATGGCAGAGCAGATTGCCATGCCTCAGCTGTTTTAATTCCCTAGCACTTATGTGGAAAGCGATTTTTTGTTGAACTGCACGTGTGCACGAAGCACACGATCACCGAACCAGAAGGATCTGGTTAAACCAGAAGGATCCCACCACTGGGTTTTTTCCTCTGGAAATCCATTCCTACTTCGACACTTGTTAAACGGTGTTCATCCCAAATTGTATAGCTAAAAGTCCAGAGGAAAAAATTGCAGACTGCAGGAACCAGGAGCACTTCTCAGGTGACCCTGAGGACACAGATAAACCTCCAAGTGCTTCAAGGACCCTCTAAAAGGATGCAAATGATATACTGTCTGCAAGGAATATAAATCCTTCCATTCCCCACTATCCTGTCAGAGCTGAAGAAGCTTCTTGGATGAGAAGTGAAACATCTTCAAAGAAAAACCAGAAAGTCCAATTGCCTCCTGAAATAGCACCTTTGGGACAACCATGACTTGGATGACTGAGAATCTCTACAAACCATTGGGAGGAATGTTACATTGGCACTAGTGCATTTGCTAAACTGCTTTTGTGTTGCAAGATTAAGTGTCATGGTTCTAATCTTCCCCAAATAGTGAATGAGAAAGCGAGGACTTGCAAACTAAGTCTCCACTTGAAGGAAGTGGGGAAGCTTTCAATATCAAGGGAAAGAAAACACCAACAGTTTTACAAAAAAGAGGATACCAGAACAATGGAAAAGCAGGAATAGGTTGGGAAATAGCAATTGTTAAGTCTGGGGTGTTATGTGGCAAGTGCTAGTCTGCTTGAAGTCTAAAGTCCCAGAACACTTTCACTTCATTTTCTGTTCCTTTGTTTATTTTTTGGTCCCGCCAGTTGTTCCTTGAAGGCAAATGGTATTTCTTGCAGATGTTCCAAAGCACCACTGTTGCTTCTTCATTGCACAATTGTTTGTGTGATCTTCTTGCAACCGCTCACTGGCTTGTCCACAGCTTCTTTATCTTGTTTGCAGAGTTCGTGTTTGCTGTTTTCACTGTCTTTTCAATTCTGGCTTTGAATGCATTTGTTCTTAAGGCTTGGTCTTGTGCAGCCAGAATTACTCCTTTGTCTCTTTCTTTGATTTTCCTTCTCTTAGTCACGGCCAGATCTTGTTGTTATCTGCTCTGCCTACTATATGGAATTAAGGAGAAAGTTCGTTGTTTCCAGAGGAGCCCCGTAGGCCAGATTTAAGCACTCAGCGGCAGGGGTGAAATGCTACCGGTTCGGACCGGTTCGCCAGAACTGGTAGTAATACATGCTACTGGTTCGGGCGAACCTATATTTCTGACGATCAGCTGTGCTGTATTATGTCTCTTTTCTGTTCATCATTTGGTCTTTCTTGTAGACCAGTTTGGTCTCTCCATTACTCAGTAAGACTTTCTGCTATGCTAACTTCCTTCTTCACTATCGTCACAAAGGTGCTTTTTTCAAGAGGCAACTGGACTTTCTGGTTTTTCTTTGAAGACATTTCACTTCTCAAGAAGCTTCTTCAGCTCTGACTGTATGGGAAGGATTTCAGTTAGATTTGAAGAAGCCTCTTGGATGAAAAGTGAAACGTTTTCAAAGAAAAACCAGAAAGTCCAGTTGCCTGTTGAAAAAATTACCTTTGGAATAACCATGACCTGGATAACTGAGAAACTCCATAAATTTCTTCACTATCCTTCTGATATTCTTCCATTCCCTATTTTCTGCTGGATAGATTATAATAGTTCATTTGGTGATCATTTGAAGTTACCATGGCACTGAAAAAAAGTAACTTATAACAGTGGTGGGTTCCTCCCAGTTTGGCCTGGTTCTGCCGTAGCGGTGACGATATGATGTCACCGAACTGGTTCTGCTCCCCCACCCCCTGCGTTATTCTTACCTTTTATTTGGCCCCACCCCCAATCTATTGCTGCCTCCTGAGTCCCAGCTGAACAGCTAGAAGGAAAAAAACTGTTTATATTGTTGCTGCGGGGCTTCAAAGGGCCGCCCTACAGCTGATCAGTGTTAAAAGGCAGTGTGCCTCCAAAAACAAATGAGTAGACCGGTGCCTGCAAAAATAAATGGATAGACCAGTAAATAGGAGAATGGGAATGAACTTTTGAATATTAATAAGACTTGTTTATAGATTTTATAACTATGGTAAATGGGTTTTTAAAATGGTTTAAAATGTTGTTTTACATAGAAAAACAAGAAACAAATAAGAAATGGGAGAAATTTAAAGAAAATTAATAGTTCAGGAGAGAGTAGGAAAGAAGATATATATTAAAATGCATTATTAGTTTAAGTTGGCAAAGAAGTATGATTTTGGGAATCAGATGATTAAAGTTAAATTGTGAATTAGTCAAATATAAGGTTAGGAGCAGAGGAAAGCATTTCTGGAGAACAGCTGATTAGGCTGTGAACCAGCCAAAAATAAACCTAGGAGGAGCGGAGCAGGCAATGCTGGAGAGCAGTGAGAGCCAAACTGCGAACCAGTCAAATATAGGGTAAGGGGTGGAGAAAAGAATCCCTGGAAGACAGCTAATTAAGCTGTGAAGCAGCCAAAAATAAACTTAGGAGGAGCGGAGGAGACAATGCTGGGGACCAGTTTAAGCTAAACTGTGAACCAGCTAAATATAAGGTAAGGAGTGGAGGGAAGCATCCCTGGAAAACAGCAAATTATGCTGTGAATCGGCTAAAAATAAACCTAGGAGGAATGAAGGAGAAAATGTTGGAAAGCAGTTAAAACTAAACTGTGATCCAGCCAACAAATAAGGTTAGGAGTGGAGGAAAGCACCCCTGGAAACCAGCTAATTAAGCTGCAATCCAGCTAAAAATAAACCTAGGAGGAGTGAAGGAGATATTTTTGAAGAACAGTTACTGACTTTGAAATGTTTTTAAGAGAGGAATAAAATACTTTATGGTGATTATTAGATGTGAGTTAAAAGAAACATTGACTTGATTTGGGTCTTTGAAGTAAGGAAAATATATGAAATCCTGATTGTTAAAAGGATAAATGAATATTATAAAGAGCTGTTTAGATTTGAAGGTTAAGATTTAGGGTGATTACATAATAAAATATTAAATGTTAGAATAAGATGTTAGATGGAATGATAGAAATTGGGTTTAGATTTGTTCTTTTTTTCTTTTCTTTTTTTCCTTTAAGATGTTAACTGATGAAATTCGGAATTTATACTTATTTTATACCGGATCAAACCCTTGCTCTAAAAAGATGCTTTTTTATGTTTTATGTTTTATGTTTAAAAATAAATGTAAAATTTTTCAAAAAAAAAAAAAAAAAAAGCCTGGTAAACCAGTACCTCTGCTAAATCCTAAAGAATTGTCACATGACCATCAAGCCACACCCACAAAATAAACCACACACACAGAACCAGTAGTAAAAATTTTAGAACCCACCCCTGACTTATAACCATTTTTCACATTTATGACCTTTGCAGCATCTCTATGGTCACATTATAAAAATTCATATTTACGACGGTAGCAGTGTCCCGGGGTCATGTGATCTCCTTTTATGACCTTCTGACAATAAAGTCAATGTGGAAGACAAATTCACTTAACAACTGCATTACTAACTTAACAACTGCAATGATTCACTTAACAATTGTGGCAAGAAAAGTTGTAAAATGGGGCCAAACTCACTTAAGAAATGTCTTGCTTAACAACAGAAATTTTGGACTCAATTGTGGCCATAAGTCAAGGACCACCTATACTTGCAATGTTCCACGGTCACCTATTTTCCTTAGCTGCTGCTGATGATTTTATTTATTGTATTTATTCAAATGACATAAAAACCCATCTCACATGCCTATCTCTGGATGGTTCACACAATTAAAGACAAGAATAAGAAACAGTTGCAAATAAGCAACTAAAAATAAAATAAAAAACATTAGAAAAACCAATTCTAAGATTATAATTTCTATTGGCCCTAAGATTTTACAGGCAGATGGAATTATTAGACTTGGTTTCCTGTTCTCTGAACATGATTGATTGTCTTGACTTTAGCTTCACTCTTTTCTGGGAAACACCAAGTTCTACAACTCCTCTCTGGAAGGCGTGTATTTGGATGAGAAAGGGGAGTTGAGTGCCAGTTTTGATATTGTGAAATGGGAGACCTTCTCGAACCAATCTACCCGGGCCACCAAGTTTGGAGAAATACGCAGACATTGGAGCTCCTCAGAGACCAATTTCATCTTTGATCAGGAGAGGTGGTCCAGGCATTTTAGCCAGGTAGGTGTAATCCATCCATCTCATTTGGGTGAAATTCCAATAGTTTTCCTTTAATTCATTAAAGTTCAAAAACAGTAGAATGTCAATTTTTTATAAAAATAGTATATAGAGAGTATTATATTTAAACATACTGAAATGAAAAAGGACACACATTCGATTTTACAGCTACTAAGTTTGTTGGACGAGCAGGCACAAAAACAGCCAGGGAAGTAATTGAAGCCTGGGAAACAGGCCTCTCATTAGTCAACAGGAGTGCGGATTTACCACCAGTCTATCAAGTACTTAGAAGGCGAGAGCTGGGTATACAAGCAAACAACAGCTAAAGACTTAAAAGCAAGCCATCAACAGCCATCAACACACCCCAATCAACTTCTAAAACGTCACTTACAACAGGCACTATAAATACACACACAGAACAGCGCAGACTCTGCTAGAGAGAAGTTCCCTGAGGATGGGCTCCAACAAGTCCGAAAGCTCGGAAGACAAAACCTCTGGTCCCAGTGACCAACCCAGATTGGATCCTGCAGTATTATAACAATAACAATAGCAATAGCACTTAGATTTATATATCGCTTCATAGTGCTTTACAGACCTCTCTAAGTCTTTTACAGAGTCAGTATATTGACCCAACAATCTGGGTCCTCATTTTACCCACCTCAGAAGGATGGAAGGCTCAGTCAACCTTGAGCTGGTCAGGATTGAACTCCTGGCAGTGGGAATGCAGAGTTAGCCTACAATACTTCATTCTAACCACTGCGCGACCACAGCTCTTTATACTTAAAGTAATTATGTTTAAAAGTAAATAGCATCTAAAAAGAAGCTATAGAAAAATAGCTAAGAATTAGACCACACTAAAAACAATGTAAAATCATTTTTAAAAATACATAGAAAAAATAAAAACTAGAAACTCAGAAAGCCACCCCAGATTCTCTCACATGTGTATAGAAATGTCTCCAGTTGCCGTATTATTTTCTCTCTCAAATAACAGCTATCTCTTTGTTTCAAGCTGCTATCATTCATCCCATGGATTTTTAAGCCAATCATCATCAAGCACACTTCTTTAATTTATAATCTATTTATTTGCACTGGCTTGCCCTTCTCTAGTGATATAATCTGGACTTTTAAAATACTGAGAAGCCCACCTGCTTTGCACCATTTTCCTTCACCTTCAGGAAGAAAGTTCTTCAGTCTTCCTGAAGTCCAGATGATATAACAGAATAAGAGAGTTGGAACAGATCTGTTTCAGATAGATTTAATCGTCAGTAAAAGCCCCCTTAACAAACCATCATTACAGGTATATATCTACATAAGACAGGAACCGGAATGACTTCACAGACACAGCTGAAGGCAGCTCCTCGAGAGTCAGGCAATACATCTCAAACTGATCCTGACATAACCCCTGTAACAGGATCTTGGAGGTCTTCTAATCCAACATCCTGCTCAGGCAGGAAATCCTCTACTATATCAGACAAATGGTTGTCCAGACTCTTCTTAAAAATTTCCAGTGTTGGAGAATTCACAACTTCTGGAGGGAAGTTGTTCTACTGATTAATTGTTCTCTCAGGAAATTTCTCCTTAGTTCTAGGTTGCTTCTCTCCTTGATTAGTTTCTATCCACTACTTCTTGTTCTGCCTTCAGGTGCTTTGGAGAATAGGTTGACCCCTTCTTCCTTCTGGCAGCCCCTTAGATATTGGAACATTGCGAATCAGTAGGGAAGGTAAGTGAATCCCATCTCTGCCGTGGCCCCAAAAGGTATTTTAAAGAGGGTCTGTGGCAGTGATAGGTTGCTCCCAGTTCGCACCGGTTCGCAAGAACCGGTAGTAAAAAAATTTAGTAGTTCAGAGAACTGGTAATAACATTGGCTGGCCACGCCCCCGAACCAGTCCTCGGCCCGGTCCCCGCTCGCTTACTCCACCCACCTCATCAGAGGCTTTTTTTTTTTAACTTTTAAAAGCATTTTTTTTTACAACCTCTTCGGCTGAAAAAATGCTTTTAAAAGTTTTTAAAAAATCCTACGATGATCGCGCGGCTCAGCTGGGATCTTCAGAGGCTTCTGAAAACATTTTTTCTGCAAAAAATCTTGAAAAAATCTGAAAAAATCCCTTTAAAAGTCTCTGGCGATCCCAGCAGATTTGCCTGATCGCCAGAAGCTTCTAAAAGCATGTTTTCCTGCAACCTCTTGAGGAGGTTGTAGGGGGGAAAAATCCCTTTAAAAGCTTCTGGCGATCCCAGATTTGCCTGATCGTCAGAAGCTCCTAAAAGCATTTTTTTTCTGCAACCTCTTAAGGTTGTAGAAATAAGGCTTTTAAAAGTAACAAAAAAAAAAGTTGGCCACGCCCACCCATTCACATTACCCCCCAAGCTTCGCCCACAAAATAAGCCATGCTCACAGAACCGGAGCTCATTTTCATGGACAGCATCTCACATGTGGTGGTAATGTCTTTTTGTTGTTGTTAGACATTTCGTCATTCCAGGTGTACTGGAAGATGTCGTCCCGGAGAAGCCAAAATGGTATTGGAGGGGGAACCGCTTTGCTGCTATGGCTGTTCCTTGTGTGCAGAAGGGACCATCTCGACTCAGGAAGGTAGGTGTCCTGCTGAAGAAAAAGCTGGACTTTGTGAACTGGGCCAGGAATCACTAAGATGCATTCTGAAATAAAGAATTGCTGTCTTTGACTTCTGAAACATGTGCTCCAAGAGATTTACAATTAAAGAATTCCATCCCATTGTTCCATTGAAAAATGTGGCAAGAGGAAATGGATTTACAGCAATCAGAATAAAAAGCTAGCTGGCTTAGTGCCTAAGGTGGGAGTAGAATTCATGGTCTCCCAATTTCTAGTTTGATGCCTTAACCGTTATAGAAAACTGGGTACACTAAACTGGCATCTGTCCTATAGATCTGGTTTATTTATTTGTTTTGGAACCAAATCCAACAGTCTGGGAGTGCAAGCTTTTAAGCTCCTCCTTCAAAGTCCAGGCCAATAATAGACATCCTACTGTTCTTGTACGGCAGTGATGGCGAACCTTTCTGGTGCCAAATGCCCAAACTGGAATGCTGTGCATGTGCATGCGCCGGAGTGCAGGAAACCCGAAGACCAGCTGGCCAGTGCATGTATGCCTGATTTTTGGGCATTTTTCGGGCCATTTTCAGGCCGTTTTTTGGGCTGTTTTCTGGCCATTTTCAAGCTGTTTTTCTGGCCATTTTCCCTGCCATTTTCAAGCCATTTTCTGGCTGTTTTTGGCCTGAAAAATGGCCTGAAAATGGCCCAAAACCAGCCCCCCAAACTGCCTGTTTTGGGGGCATTTTTTTGGCCATTTTCAAGCCATTTTCCAGCACAATGAGGCCTGCGAACACCAGCTGGCGACAGCGCATGTGCCCACAGAGAGGGCTCTGTGTGCCACCTATAGCATGCATCCCATAGGTTCGCCATCATGGTTATATGGTAACTGGAACATGGTAGATGTGTACTACAAATGGACTTTCTCTAGAGTAGGACCTTTCTTGTGGACCTCCATCCAATAAGCGCTCAACCTGTCTATTTACTTCATCACTCTCTCACTGACATTTGGGTTCAAACTCTGTGCTTTCAACCAGTTTAAAAGGATCTAAGGAAGTATTTCCAGATATGGTGGCCATATTACTTTCTTATTGCAATAGCAACAGAACCACAGCTTTAATGCTTCACAGTGCTTTTATACCCCTCTCTAAGCAATTTACAGAGTCGGCATATTGCCCTCAATAATCTGGGTCCTCACTTTACCGACCTCAGAAACTTGAGTCAACCTTGAGCCAGTGAACTGCCAAACTACTGGCAGCTGGCAGTCAAGAGAAGTAGCCTGCAGTACTGCATTCTAACCACTGCGCCACCATGGCTCAATTCCCTGGTGAAATTTTTATTCTGAGCTCTCTTCATCTACCATTGCATTGCTACTGAAAAAGTCTTTTTGTTATAATAATTCAAGCAAGCTTCCTTTTACTCCATATTTTCTCAGAAAAGGAGCATTTCTCACTGAATGCCCTGTCTAGGTTTCAATCATCAGAACTCACAGATGGAAAACAGCATAATACAATATTCATTCCAGAAGGAAGGCATTAATCACACTACATGCTACATCTGTTTTCTTTTCAGATGCAGATTATTGCAGCAAGTGTCCTGCTGATCAGCATCCAAATAACGCCCAAGTTCAATGTCTCCCCAAGATCCAAACCTTCCTGTCCTACAAAGACTATCTAGGGATCATCCTGACTTCCCTTGCCCTCTTCTTCTGCTTAATCACAGCCTTTGTGTTAATCATCTTCATTAAATTCCTGGAAACTCCTTTGGTCAAAGCCAACAATCAAGACCTCTCTTTTGTCCTCCTCATCTCCCTCCTTCTTTCTTTCTCGTCCTCCTTCTTATTCATTGGTCAGCCAAGGACTACCACTTGCCTCCTCCGACAAACTGCCTTTAGCATCATCTTCTCGGTTGCCGTCTCTTCTGTTTTGGCCAAAACGGTCACGGTGGTGCTGGCCTTCTTGGCAACAAAGCCAGGGAGCAAGGCAAGGAAGTGGCTGGGGAAGAGCTTGGCCAACTCCATTATTATTTCTTGTTCTGGCATCCAAATGATCATCTGCACATTCTGGCTAGGAACCTCTCCTCCATTTCCTGAGTCTGATATGCAGTCCCAGTCTGGAGAGATCATCCTGCAATGCAACGAAGGCTCCGTCGCCATGTTTTATGGTGCCCTTAGCTACATGGGCTTCCAAGCTGCTGTCTGCTTTGTGGTGGCTTTCCTGGCCAGGAACCTCCCTGGGGCCTTCAACGAAGCCAAGCTGATCACCTTCAGCATGCTGGTCTTCTGCAGCGTCTGGATCTCCTTTGTGCCCACCTACCTGAGCACCAAGGGGAAATACATGGTGGCCGTGCAGGTCTTCTCCATCTTGTCCTCCAGTGCCGGCTTATTGGGCTGCATCTTCATTCCCAAATGCTACATTATCGTTTTAAGACCAGACCTGAATACAAAAGAGCAGCTAACAGCAAGAACAGAAATTGGCTTGAAAGCAAAGGCTAAATAACTGCAGTGGGCTTACTGCTTGATGTGTGTTAATTTAACAATTTAATTTCTGCTAGATATGCATTATTGTACTTGTGAATGTGGAGATGTAGATTTGGTTTGCAGATTGCTAAAAGGAATCATTGTTTCACTCTCTGCAAGCCATTGTAGCAGCTGCTTTTTTCCCCATTGGGGCATCAGGGGGAACCATGCTGAAGTTACCATTCCAGAAAACTTATATGGGTCACTCTTCCCACACTCAGCAAAATCTACACCATTGGAGAAAATTTTGAGCAGCAAAGACAAGGCATATTTTTCAGGCTATTCCATGGGAGTTGAAACCAAAAGTACAGGAGAAATCACCAAGGCTGGAAAAGAAATGAGCTTTCTTAGAAACATCACTCATGAAGAGCAGGTCAATATTTCAGCACAGACCTATTTGAGAAAAAGACCCTCCAGTTTCCCCTATTTTGGAAAAGAGGTTGAAACGACTCATTTTTAATTTGCCATTATGAATTCACTCATGAATCAGGGCAGGAGTTTTGCATATTCCCTTTCCAAGATTGTTTATCATAGCTATTCATTCCATGTTATTAACGCTGATGTCAGGATTCCAAATAACACCCCCAACCAAGTATAAGACTCCGAGGCAGGCATTTCTTCAAACTTCCATTTTATTGGAGATGTCATATTGGCACATCTGAGAAAACCCGAATCTGAAGTCTCCCGGGTTTTCCCCACCCAAAGGAAAGTCAAAGTACCCTTCCCCTGCACCCATATGTCCATCACATGTTCCAATCAAGCCACCTGCCTAATCAGAGTAGCTTCCCAGTCATGCCTCTCCAGGTGCAGGTTGAACGTCCTTGACTCCCAGTGAAAGAATGTTGTTGTTGTTATGGCTATACATCTCACACCATCGCCAGCCAACCCCCTCCCAGTTCCCACAGCATGCCCATCCTCCATGTGTGGCAGCCCTGAAGATCCAAAGAAAAGATGGCCTCCAGGGGTGACAGCTGATTAATGAAATCTTGCTTCTCGGGGCATCTGCTGCTATTAGCAATTTGAGATATAAACCTAATGTCAGGTATGCTTCCTTCAGTATCCAGGAAAGAAAACCCCAAATCAAGCATTTTGAAGAATCTGGTACTTTTACTGAATATGAAAAGATTAACATCCCAGTGAAAAGCTGGAAGTGATCAAAACGCGTGAAATGCATCTACTAAGCTTCTTCCCCCCCTCGTGTTTATAGTTTCTCAGCCAATCTAAAGGTCTTCCAAAGGTCAGGTGGCAACACGTCTGGCAGCGTCATCCATCAGGAATGTCGAGACAGTTGGTCGGCCATCCCCTTCTGAAATCCAGTTTCGATTCCCACGAAGTCCCCTCCTACAAAGACAAACCCCCTCCTGCTCTCTTCCCCCCCTTTGCTCCATACCTAATCCCTCCCCGTTTCTTATGGCAGCTAAAGCAGGAAAGCTGATGCTGACATTCGGCCCCTCTTGCAGAAGAGACGTTAGTCCTAATTAAAAGGAAAAAGAGAAAGAGAAACAGAATATATACAATGATCAAGGTTTATCAGGGTATTTGGCATAGAACTGTTGTACTTTCTTGGGAGCTCGGACATCCCGTTTATTTACCCATTCAGCCTGAGATAGTGGAAAATGTTTCCAGGCAATCAGATATTGGACTTTACCATGGTGTTTTCTAGAGTCCAAGATTTCCTTAACCTCAAAATGTTGCTCCCCTTCTACGAGGATGGGAATTGGAGGGTTGCTATGATCAACCCTTAGGGGAGATGAGTGTTCAGGTTTCAATAAACTAACATGAAATACAGGATGTATCCGTCTCAAGGTTTTTGGTAATTCTAATTCAACTGTCACTGGATTTATCAGTCTGATCACACGGAATGGTCCTACATACTTAGGCCCCAGCTTTTTAGACCTCTGGGTGGTTTGTAAGTATTTGGTAGACAAATAGACTTTATCCCCCACTTTGTAAATGTGAGCTGGGGACCTTTTCTTATCGGCTTGTGCCTTATGAGCTCGGTGTGCCTCATCTAATGCCTTCCGAGTCACTGTCCAGGTGCTCCTTAATTGTTCTATCCAATCTATCAAAGAGGGATTTTGGGGATCATCTTGAGGTAACTCGGGAATGGGTACAAAATCCTGGCCCGATGCAACCTTAAAAGGGGTGAATCCGGTGCTACTATGCACAGAATTGTTATACGCCACTTCTGCAAATGGCAACAAGTCTACCCAATTGTCCTGTTGGTAATTCACGTAACATCTAAGGTATTGTTCGAGCACCCCATTGGTTCTTTCACAAGCACCATTTGTCTGAGGGTGGTGACTGGAACTCAACCCCTGTGCGGAGCCTATCAATCTTAAAAATTCTCTCCAGAAACTGGAAGTAAATTGCACACCCCTATCAGAAATTATTCTTTTCGGAGACCCATGTAGTTGGTAAATCTGCCGAATAAATAACTTTGCGAGGGTTTTTGCTGAAGGGATCTTTGAGCAAGGTATGAAATGTACTTGTTTAGAAAACAAATCAGTTACTACCCAAATGACAGTGCAGCCCTCACTGTCGGGTAAGTCCACTACAAAATCCATAGATATTTCCTTCCATGGGGCGTTCGGTCTAGCCACACTTTGCAGTAATCCAGGGGATTTTCCTGGAATTAGGGGCCTTTCCATGCCAGGGGCTACAATAAAGCTGAGCTTTTCTATATGATTCCCCAACTGTAGTTCGAGGGGTTCGGTCATAAAACTAGCTGGGGCCCCCCCTGCAATCGACCCATCTAATTGACAAAATGCAATGGGTCTTTTTAAAGTTTTCAGTCTCAGTCCCATTTCCTCCACTACTTTGGGGCTAATTATGCACCTAGTGCACCCCGAGTCCAACAGGGCTAACAATTGCGCGTGAGTTCCTGTGGAGGGCACCCTTACTTCTACGGGGATGAGTAAGGGTTCTTCCGTGTGACTCACCCATTCATCGGTGTCCGAGTCAGAGTCTGTCTCGCTGTCGTCATCGTTGGTCGGAGTTCCCAACTCACGCTGGTTCCGGGGAGTGAACTCAACGACTTCTCCTTTCAGGGCGGTGCCGCGGGTTTTGGCGGGTATTTTATCGCTTTTCTTTTGGCTGGTCCCGGTGGCTTTTGGCGGTGGTTTGGAGAAACATTCAGCCGCCCGGTGACCCTCCTTCCCACATTTGAAACAGGTGAAGGGCTTTGACTTGGGTTTGAATTCGGTCTTCCCGCCAGTCATCTTGGCCGCCCCCTTACAGTAGAGAGAGGATGACTGGTCCCCCATCCGCCTTCCTCGGAGTTCGCTCCGTTTCAGCTCGATCTCCACATCCTCAGCTACTATGTACCATCTATCCAAATCATCGGGGACCCCCATGCTCCTGCAATCTCGATATATCTCATCATTCAATCCATCCTTGAAACTCTCCAAAAGCGCCATTTCTGACCAGCCTGTCATATAAGGTGCCAGTTCACGAAACTCTTGGATATACTCTGCCACCGGCCTCCGACCCTGCTGAATGCTCTTCATTCTGAGTCTCGCCTTTCGTTCAGCTAAATGGTCTTCAAAACGTCTTCTAAGGGCCCTCATGAACTGGTTGTAATTTCTCAGCAGGAGGGAGTTGTTATTGTGGAGAACTACCATCCACTCAGCCGCCACTCCCTCTAGGGCATTCGCAACGCTTCTGACTTTAGCCGCATCTGTTTCGTAGTCCTCCCCCCAATCCTGCATGTGGTTCCACACTTGGGTCAGGAAAAATCCCAAGGTTTTAGGATTTCCATCAAACTTTCCAGGAAGGGGGGGGATTTTTGGCTTTTTACGTCTGCGGGGGGGGGGGCTGCAGGGCTGGGGTTCTCTGGCCGGCTGCATCTCTTCCTCGAGCTGCCGAAGCCTGGGATGTTCCCTCCTCAAACTCTTCCTCTCCCCCGCAGGCTGTCTCTTCTGCCTCCCCCCTGGGGTCTGCTTCCCCCTTCTCCACAGGAGTTTCAAAAGACTCACGGTTTTTTCTGCTTTCTTCCACATCACGGATAAGCTGCAAGGCTTGATCTATCATGAGACGTTCCTTCTGCTGTTGCATCCACACTGCCTCCCTTTTTCGGGGTCTGGAAGTCGTCACTCCCCGGGGATTCTCCCCCCAGTCCGGCAGTCTGCCCACACCTTTGGACCATCTAGCTTCCTCCGGTTCCAAACGGAGTTTTTCCAGCCATTTTGCAGTTTCTCTTTCCGACTGGAGGGCGGTTGAACTCGCTGCCCCCATCTTCCCTTCGTCATCACTCCCTCGATCTGACATACTTTGGATTTTCAGTCCCCTCGGGTTTTGTCCGGGATGACTGAGATCACTTCCAGCTTAATGTCAGGTATGCTTCCTTCAGTATCCAGGAAAGAAAACCCCAAACTCAAGCATTTTGAAGAATCTGGTACTTTTACTGAATATGAAAAGATTAACATCCCAGTGAAAAGCTGGAAGTGATCAAAACGCGCGAAATGCATCTACTAAGCTTCTTCCCCCCCTCGTGTTTATAGTTTCTCAGCCAATCTAAAGGTCTTCCAAAGGTCAGGTGGCAACACGTCTGGCAGCGTCATCCATCAGGAATGTCGAGACAGTTGGTCGGCCATCACCTTCTGAAATCCAGTTTCGATTCCCACGAAGTCCCCTCCTACAAAGACAAACCCCCTCCTGCTCTCTTCCCCCCTTTGCTCCATACCTAATCCCCTCCCCGTTTCTTATGGCAGCTAAAGCAGGAAAGCTGATGCTGACACCTAAAACACAACACTGTTCACATTTTTTTTCTATTCATACACTTGTTGTGGCTCCGACCCCCGAGCCCGTCTTATCAGAGGAAGAAAGCTCCGAAAGGGAAGGAGAGGAGTTGGCCGGGCCTCCCTCTCCAGGACCCTCCTCTCTGGCAATGCCTCAGGTGTCTCCCGAAGGAGAAGAGATTGGCCAGGAGCCAGGTATCCCCGAGCAGTCGCAATCGGACAGTGACAGAGATGAGTCTTGGCTGGATCCACATCAGTGTCGGAGAGATAAGCGCACACAACAGAAAAGGAGGCGTGCCAGAGATTAGGCTGAGTCACTGGACCACACCCCACAGGGTATAAAAGGGAGTGTGGTGGCCAGTCAAGCCTTGTGATGAACAAAGCTGAAAGCTTCCACGCCATTCTGCATTGCCGGACTTTTGCTATAAACTTTGCTGGATTATATTTGGACTTAATTTACCCTGTACTTATTGAACATTTACTTTGATGTACAAAAGTGGAGAGAAGTTCTCTCCTTCCTTCGTAAGTAAAAGACTCTTGGCAGGCAGCCACTAGGTTGCTGCCAAGTTCCGTTATCAAAAGGGAGTTTCTTGTCGGCTGGTTTGGTTTTTAACTCTTGGACGTCTGTTAGTGTGCGTGTGTGGGACGGGGACAGAACAACACTGCTCTGAAGTATGTGCCAGTTGGGGAGTGTATGTCAACCCTGAAGCTGGCCTGACTGAGGCCATTTTGAGAGTTCAGTGCTGACACAGTGGAGCTGAGGGATAGAGAGGGAGGAATAGAGATAGTTGGAGTATTATAGTCAAAACAAAATACTTTCTCTTGGGATCCAAGGACATTCCTGCAGGTGTTCGGAAGGAGGGGACTGATGTCACCTAGCAACTGGACTGTACTCTGATTGGGCCATGTGATTGGTTGTTTTGGGAAAGTGATAAACTTTTTTTTAATTAGGTGAAAACCATGGGAATGTTCAAAGGCAGTTTTCACCAGCCTGCACCAATATGACATATCCAATAAACTTATTCTTTGAGGAATCTACCTGCCTCAGAGTTTTGTTTGCTATGGGTATGTTACTTGGAACCCTGACAGGGTAAACTAGAAATTTCCATTTATCCAGTCATTTATTTATACGTATATTGACATCTTTACAAATTATTTATGGGTAGCAGAAGTGGATTTCAGCAGGTTCTGACCAGTTCTGGAGAACCGGTAGCGGACATTTTGAGTAGTTCGGAGAACCGGTAGTAAAAATTCTGACTGGCCCCGCCCCCATCTATTCTCTGCCTCCCAAATCCCAGCTGATCAGGAGGAAATGGGGATTTTTCAGTAACCTTCCCCTGGAGTGGGATGGGAATGGAGATTTTACAATATCCTTCCCCTGCCACACCCACCAAGCCACACCTACCAAGCCACACCCACAGAACCAGTAGTAAAAAAAATTTTTTTAATTAAAAAGTTTTTTATTTTATAAACAAACAAACATACAATATATAATTAATCAGTCAATATATCATCTGAATACATCTTTTTTCCATCTTACTCCTCCAATAATTATCATATCTTAATATTATCATTTCATTTATTATTACATTTCCCCCACATTTACTTTTCTATTAAAACATTTATATATTCAACACTTTTATCCCAACCCAACCTTTGTCCCTCCCTCCCCACCCACCCCCCGACTTCCCAGAGTGAAAACAGGGTATAACATTTAACAAGCATAAGCTAAAATATACTAACTAACTACAAAGTTCAAAACTCCCACACACTCTTTAACTCCCCTTACTCGAATTCATCAACCTCCCTTTTATAAATTCTCAAAATCAGTTGAATTAAATTCATTCTTCCTAAATATAAAAACCTTTTTCTTGATATGTAATCCAATAATTTAACAATATTACAAACATTAAAAATCATGGATAAGTTTCATTTCCACACCCTCAAACACCATTCTTTTTCAGCATTACTCCCTAATAAGATTCTAAATTTAACATTTATCCTCTTTAATCCTTCATAAAATTGAACATTTTAAAACCTTAAACATTT